ACAATGATCTCAACATGCCCAGCACATCCTGCGCAAGAACCAAAATGAAGACTCAGCACCCTGACTAATGGACTTTCATAGTTTAGACTGGGTATCAAGTGGATGCTCATTTTATGTTCACCTTCAATGGACCAGCAGCTAAAGTTGCTTCAGCCTCGGAAAATGTTTGGAATATCGCTCGCTCCGTGAAAGCTCTGCTCAAGTCCTCTGCTAGCTGATAACTCTGTTGTAGATTGTGAGAATTAGACTAAAAGGTGAAGAAAAGACTAGCCCACTTACATAAACATAACTACTTCCTCACCATATTCAAGGCATGCTCTTTACTTAGTCCCTTGGCTTGATAGTCCGAGACCTCGACCGCTAAACGATTCAAAAGATCTCTCTCCCTTATGCACAAGGCATCCATCTGACATATGCCAATGGTCAGAGATACTCACAAATCTTAATATGGAAGAATAAGAATGGAAAACTGGTTATATTACCTGGAATTGACTTGAATGGAGTGTTGTGATAGTAAGCTGTGATGGAATAACAGGGCTGGGCTTATTCATGTGTTCTAAGCCAAGACCCTTGAAAGCCTTCTTTCTCTTCTTAGCTGCCACATATTCAGCAAGCAGAGCCTTGCTGACCTGAGTTAACATGATGCGTATGATCTACGTGAATAGAAATGAAACACAATGGTCATGAAACAAGAAACCCATATTTACCTGCTGCATCAAAATGTTGTTGTCCCCCTCAAAAGTGGCCTGCACGTCATATTCGGCTTTCATTTGACCGACATGATTCTCGGAACTTAATCCTTGTCCTCCACAAGCTTCACGGCATTCCTGAAGCATTCGACAATGAAACCTTGGTAACACACTTACTCTTAATATATATATCCAGCATAAATTCATGGTCATCTTGTTTCTCACCTGAAGTATGTGCAGGTTATTCCAAGTAAAAGTAGCTTTGAACGAACTTGAAAATACATGAATGCTTTTGTATGACCGAGGCGTCCTCTTCACATACAACATTTTCAAGTAATTTGACGCAAAACTCATAGCGTAGCTGCGGCAGAAGTCGGCAATTTATTACGTGACATGATTTGAACAGAAGTGATATATGTGCGGACATAGCAGAACTCATTTGCAACTTATATACTTACGTCTTTGCAAGAAGAGGCAAGAGTCGTCGTTGATGACTAGGGTAATCAAGCAATAAGACCTCAGGTTCATTTGGTTTAAGAGAAAAGGCCCGCCTTGTTAGTGCATACCTAATGGCAATCGTTAAACCGACCTAAAACCGAGAGAAATGATATCAGTTGCCTGCAGTGCTCATCTGCCAATAAAAAGGGATCAAATGTGATGCTTAAAGAGAATACTAAAGATACCTTTGATAGGTAAACGGCACAGGATGCGACACTCACACGACCTATTGTCAGAGGGGCCAGGAATGCAGCAAATCTCTGCATTAAAGCAACAAGCATTTAAGAATCACCAATACATTAGATGCAGATAGCAGTCATCCCTAATAGGAGTACCTGATCAGGGTCTTTAATTGAAGTTAGGTACTTTCCATCAGGTGAAACATCAGCGACTGAATTTAACAAGTTCTCTCTGGGAACTCGAAAATTGTCGAACCTGAAATCAGAGATGTAAACCTCAGGGAAACGAAAATACCACTGAATCTATATCATAGTGAACAAGTGTAGGTTAGAGTTACCAGATTCGACCGTTATCGACACCATTTAAACCAATTTTCCGACCATTGTCAGCAGTCCGAATGTTTGGGCATACCTTACCATTAGCATCCCTGATTTGGGCTATAAATGCATGAACCCCTTGACTGGTTCCGTTGATATTTAGCTGTGAAAACACTATTGCGTGTGTTGCATGCTAAAGAGCAATAGTAGTTATATACTATGTCAGCATACAGGCAAAACTGATTAACAAAATTTCCACATGCAAACAAACGTACATTGGTCGCTCCACCAATCCAAAACTTCTGAGCTGATTCACAAGTGTATTAATGACGAATTCCCCTTTGTTCGAATCGTATGTCGCTACTGTTTCAACGCCGCGAACCTAAAAGCAATAAATATCAGAATCAATCAGGGAAAAAAAGTAAAAAAAAAAAAACTCAATTCTTACATACATTGCTTCCATGCCCCAACTCTGTCATCGCAAAGCAACCCTTGACGACGTTCGTTTCTGTGTCCTTCAACCATTTTTCATGATGATGCTTTGTGCCGAAGACTTGGACGGCACCACCCCTGATAACATTTACGACAACCCGAACTATTGACGGTTTGAAAACTAATATAACAACAGAACAAGCTTTTAAATTACGTACCACAAGAAGAAGTGAACTGCGAGCATAATTCCCAAGGAATGATCGAAGATAGCTAGAGCCTCGAAGGATGCGAACTTTCTCAACTCGACCTCTTCTCCTTCCTCCGTTAACCAACCTTTGAACACCCCTCTCTCGAACAAAAAGTCGATGCGATTCGACGTCATCTCTCTTTGCTGCTCCATGGGCTGGTTATAGTCCGGTGACACGAACACCTTCCCTCCCCTCACTCTCGGGTTGAACAGCTTGTTCCGGCTTATCATCCCGAACAGATGGTCCCTCAACTCCATGTGGTGCCAGTCGATTAGATGCCGCATCTCCTTGACATCGAATGCGCAAATTTCGGAAAGTTCAGGGGGAGAATAATTCAAGCAGGTGTTTGAAGAAAGAGGAGGTGAAGAAGGAGAGGACTGGAGGAGATGATTGTTTAGGATTTTTGTCCTTTGAAATGCTCGATCCATTGAAGAAACAGTGCGTTTCTCTCTGTGTGTGTTGTTGCTTAATATGAAATTCAAGAAGAAGATGATAATGAAAGGAAGGGTAGATCAGATGATCGTTGGAAAGAGGTGGAGCCTTTTTTAAAAGGAAGTTTTGGGTTAACTGTTAATTTACGCGTCAACGCTAAGAGCTAGAAAACAATAAATAAATAAACTACACGTTTAGTATTTAAATTATTATTTTTATTTAATTTTGGTACCTAAACATTATTTTAAAATTATATGTAACGTTTAGTTTAAATTTTATTTTGGTATCTCAATGTTAAAAAATTAACATAACTACTGACCTTTTATTTTTTTAATGATGATGTTGCATTATCTTATAGTAACACGTCAACATCACCGTTAAGCTTTTAAAAACGGGATACTAAAATAAAATCTAAACTAAACCTTAGATATGATTTTGAAATAAAATAAAGTTTAGATATCAAAATGAAATAAAAATAATAGTTTATGTACTAATTGTATAATTTACCCTAATATTAATTATATGCCTAAAAACAAAGGGCATGTTGAAAATATCGAGAGATTTTCGTAAAGTCCAAAATAATATATGTTAAAAAGTATATATTATATCAATATCATCAAATTTTAGTGTGTAAGAAATCATTGGAAACAGTCCCATGCTAATGGTAAGATCCGCTTACTTTGATTAGTACGTAGTGTTTCTTGTAGCTGCCTTTGAAATTTTGTCTTCATAAGGCGTCCATAAGTTTTACGAGAATTGAATTTATTAAGTTATTTAGTGCGTAAAAAAATGTTATTTTTTAAAAAAAATCTTAAATTCAAATAATTATATCTATAAAATATATGAATTATCAATAGCTAAAAATTATAAATTAATATTTCATTATAGTTACCTGAAGTTCAGACTATTTTATTTCATTTTCCCTTTATGGATGTGATATTAATGAGATATGAACACCAACAATTATAGCATTAGTTATTAGTGAGTAATTTGTAGCAATTTACTAGGTTGTTACTATCTGATGCGCGGTTAGTGCATGGATCTCATATATCATTTGTGAATCGGAATGAAAATTATAATCGGTGAGAAAATGATCATTAGTTAACGTTGATGTTTTATATCTTTATGATAAGACAGTAGAAAAATGAACGAAGGTGAGATGGTTCCATATAAGTTGCATCTTTTTCTTATATATTAATTAAGAGGTTTTATAATGACTCTTAGTGTAAATGTCATGTAAGTTAATAAACTATGTAGATACAGTCAAATGGTGGTGAATTTGATTCTGATAGGTTACGTTGGTCTGTCATAGGTCATGTTAATATGTTATGATTTTTCGAGAAAGGTTAGATATTTGAGGTTATTCTTTCAAAGATGTTCTCTTTATATCTTATGGAATTCCTTGAATAACAGAGATTTAAAAATGCTCCTAGATCCTCCAGAGACTATAAAAAATATATAATGTACAGAGGAACTTTTACTGGTATAACAAAAATCTACCATCTTATTAATTATATTTAATTAATATTTCTTTATAATTTTTTAATATTTTTATTTATAAATAAAGTGATAAACCAATGAATAGAGATATAAATCTCATGCTTATGCCTCTTAATGGATGAATATTCTGTAGTTGTTTGGTAATTTAGCTTGTATGATACCTTATAATGTTTGCATATATGAATCGGTTGTCCAACAATTATAAATAATTAAATATGAGTGATTATTGAAATTACATAATCTCATAATGTAATTCGGAGACCGATCTTCAGAAAAAAGGTGTCTTTTGATGACCTGAAAGTTAAGATTTTTCCAACAATTATCATAAGCCAGATTTCAGACCATCATGAGATTGTTTTATCATTTAATAAAGTCGTATTTGTATTCTTTTGCTTATTTTTTGAAAGTATTTATATTTAATGAACATATTCTTTAACGTTAGCTCAATGTTCAGCCATAAAAACTCTATTTCTATTATTTTATTTACAAGTAAAATAAAAATGATAAAAATATAACACTAGTTCTTAAGTTCCTTATGCTTTACATTTTGAACCCCAAAGTTTACCTTAAATTAATTTAGCTCTACCTTCACCAATATTTAAAATATAAAAAAAGAACCGAATAAATGAGCTTATAAACGAGCTTGTTCGTGAATATAAACGAGCCGAGCATACATCTGTTCGTGTTTGTTTGTTTATTAAAGTTGGGACTATGACCCTTACTATTGCCAAGCTCCAAGACAAGCTTGGATGTTTTCTGAAGCACACCAGACAACAAAGTAGCACCAACCGCAACATAATCAGTGTTCTTGAGCCTGTTCGCCACATCTCTTGCTGCCTCCTCTGCTGTCAAAATTGCCTCATCAGCCGCACACACTGCTACCTTGGTTTTGTCCATCACCGCCCGTCGTTTTCCCCGATAATTGAACCCCTTCGCATCCTAACGCGTCCGCTACGGCTCGAAGTACCGGAATGTTTCCTCGGGTCTTGTTGTTCTAAATGTTACAGGCGTCGAATGAATAAGATGCAAATGCATACAGTTAAACTTTCTTTGGCGTGGAAAAAGAAAGTTACCTCATAAACGATAGGAATTGTTCTATATGAGACAGGAGGATCTGCATCGTCCTTCTTCGGCAGAACTCGAATTGGCTGGCCTGCAAAAATAGCATTCTGCAAACCAAGCGCAAGTCCACACATCAAATCCAAACGAACAAAAATGTAAACTTGAACGTAATTTTTGTTGCGGAAGACGACTATCGGATAGAGCAAAATCGCAACTGATAATTTGAGAAAATAAAAATGAAGATAAAAGAGACACAAAATTTACGTGAAAACCCCCTAAAAATTTAGGGTAAAAACCACGGGCAACGGTAGAAGAATTTCACTATGAGAAAATAGGAATTACAACTTCTCTCGATCTACCAAGGAGAAAACAATGATAATTCTCTCTTGATAAAAAGGAGAAAATAACTCTCAAGAAACTCTCTAAATTCTCTCTAGTATTGGAAGAAAGCTAGAATGCTTTGGGATAGTTTTGAAGCTAAATGAGCTAGGGTATTTATAGTTGAAACTTAAGGACTAATCTTGTAAATACCCTAAAAGTTTAGTGACTAAAGTTTATAATTTGACCATTTAGTTTTCAACCATTGTTACACCTAATTTTGACATTTTATATTTGGTGCGTACCATTGTTGAAAATTTCATTTTTTTTCAACCTTGCTAAATGCACTTTTCGGTGCATGCTTTCAACAATCTCCTACTTGAAGATTTGATTGGTACAATCATATCTTCACACCATTCTTTGTACCTTGTACCATCATGTTGCTTACGTCTCTGACAGGCCACAGGAGGATCGACACCAGGTAAATTTATCAGCATTGATTGCCTTCGTCATGAAATTTGCTATGTTGTCTTTGGTATGGATCTTCTGCATATCTACCGTTCATTCTTCTACTTTTTCACGAATGAAATGGTACTGAACTCGTATGTGCTTTGTCCTTGAATGAAATGCTGGATTCCTTGCTAGATTCAAGGCACTTTGACTATCACAAAATAGAGAGACATACTCTTGATTGTGCCCAAGCTCCTCCAATAACATCTTCAACCATATTGCTTCTTTACTGGCTTGTGTAGCTGCTACATATTATGCTTCTGTTGTGGATGTAGCCACAACTGACTGCAATTTTGAAACCCAGCTTACAGCTCCACCAGTAACTTTAAACACATATCATGTAGTAGATTTGCTTTTATCTAAATCGCTTGCATAGTCAGAATCAACATACCCATTGATTAGTAAGTTTGATCCTCCGTAACATAATGCAACATTTGAGGTCCCTTTGATGTATCTCAGGATCCTCTTTACTGTATTCCAATGCTCTTTGCCTGGATTCTCCATGTAACAACTAACCACTCCCACTGCTTGTGCAATGTTTGGTCTTGTGCATATCATAGCGGACATCAAACTTCCCACTGCTGATGCATACGGTACTCGAGACATCTCCATCATCTCTTCTTCACTGCTAGGACTCATACTGGAGGATAATTTGAAGTTAATAGGAAGAGGGGTAGAAATTGGCTTACAATCTTGCATGTTGAATCGTGACAAGATTTTCTTCAAGTAATTATTTTGTGAAAGCCAAATCTTCCTATTACTTCTGTCTCGATGAATTTGCATCCCTAGAATCTTGTTTGCTGATCCCAAGTCCTTCATTTCAAATTCCCTAGCCAGTTGTGCCTTCAATTCTTCAATATGATCTTTGTTGGGTCCTGCAACCAACATGTCATCTACATACAACAGCAATATAACAAATCGTTATCACCAGACCTCTAGAAATAAGCACAAGGGTCTGCATTAAGTCTGTTGTATCCAAGGCACGTAATGAAGGAATCAAATCTCTTATACCAACACCTCGGCGCATGCTTTAGACCGTACAGAGATTTGTTCAACCTGCAAACTAAGTTCTTCTTTGCTTCTTCTTCAAAACCTTCAGGCTGCAGCATATAAATCTCTTCTTCAAGATTTCCATGAAGAAAACTGTTTTAACATCTAGCTGCTCTAGATGTAAGTTCAATGTAGCACACATTGCCAAAACTACACGAACTGTTGTCAGTCGAACCACAGGAGAAAATATTTCATTGAAATTAATACATTCTTTTTGAGCATATCCTTTGACCACCAGTTTTGCACGATACCTCTCAACTTGATCGTCACTATTTCGCTTGATTTTGAAGACCCATTTGTTACCAATTGGCTTCCTTCCTTGTGGTAGTGACACAAGATCCATGTATTATTTTTATGAAGGGCTTCGATTTCTTCTTGCATCGCCATCATCCACAGTAAAGCATCTGAGCTGTTTATTGCCTCCTGTATGTTGATGGCTCACCGTCATCTGTTAAAAGACAGTATGCAATATTACCTTCTATAACATAATCTGAGTGCCAATTGGGACGTTTCTATACGATCTGATTGACGAGTTGTTGGAGCTTCAGAATTCTCTGGTTCTTGTTCATCTTGTGATTGTTCTGCTTCAGAAGAATCTCCTTGTTCAACCTCATTTTCCACATGTATCTATGTAGTCTCTGACTTTTCAGTGCTATCATCATCTTCTTTTCTTTTGTAGCTTATCTTCTACAAAGATAACATCCCTGCTGATGATCACTTTGCGGGCAGTGGAATCCCACAAGCGATACCCCTTTACTCCATCAGCATACCCCAAGAATTTGTATTTCCTGGATTTTGGATCCAGCTTTGAAATTTCTTGGGAGTTGTACATCACGTACACTATACTTCCAAATACATGGAGGTTTGAATAATCAGTTGGTTTTCCAGTCCACATCTCCATTGGTGTCTTCAGCTCTATTGCAGTTGATGGAGCTCGATTCACCAAATAATAGGCGGTATTGACTGCTTCTGCCCAGAATGATTTTTCTAGGCCTGCATCCCTCAACATTGCTCTTGTTCTTTATAACAAGGTTCTATTCATCCGCTCTGCCACTCCATTTTGTTGAGGAGTGTTCGCCACTGTGAACTGTCTTTTGATGCCTTCTTTCCTACAAAAGTCATCAAATTCTTCGCTTGTGTATTCTTCTCCATTATCTGTTCTGAAACACTTGATCTTATTTCCAGAATCAAGTTCCACCCGCGCTTTGAAGTTTTTGAAAGTTGAAAACACGTCTGACTTCTTCTTGATAGGGTACACCCAACATCTCCTAGAGTAGTCATCAATAAATTAGACAAAGTATTTTGCTCCACCTAGAGATGTAACTGGTGCTTGCAATACGTCAGAGTAAACCAATTCTAGAACATTTTTGCCTCTAGAATTTGATTTGTTGAATTTCAACCGGTGCTGCTTACTTGTTATGCAATGCTCACACAAAGGAAGTGTTACCTTTGCTAAGCCTGGAAGTAGTTTTTGCTCCGCAAGGACTTTCATTTCTTGCTCTGACATGTGTCCAAGTTTATGATGCCATAGCATTGTAGAATTTTGAACTACATGAGGCAACAGAGGCTTCTGCTTCTAGCAATGTCTCTCCCTTCAGTATGTACAAGTTTGCAGCTATCTTTTCACCTTTCAGTACCACAAGCGCTCCACGGAACACCTTCATGATTCCTTTCCGTGTTTCAATCTTGCTTGCATTATTATCCAACAATCCGTAGGATAATAAATTTTTCTTTAGGCCTTTCACGTGTCGCACATATCGAACAACTTTAATTGTTCCATCATACATCTTCAATTTGATGGTTCCTACGCCAATGATCTCTAAGGCATGATCATTGCAACTATACACAGATCCTCCTGAGACAGGTTCATATTGATGGAACCATTCTCTTCTTGAGGTCATATGATATGTTGCTCCTGAATCAATGAGCCATATATCTGCAAATCTTTTTTTCCTTCCACGGTGGTTAACGCTTCACAGCATAGAGCATCTCCATCATCTGAAGTGTTTGCGGTATTACCTTGTGGATTGGAGTTTTTATTTAGACTCCAATAATCCTGCTTCAAATGACCATTCTTTCCATAGTTGTAGCACTTTAAATTCTTCTTGCTCCTCGACTTCGATCTACCATGTTTGTGATTGCTGATTTGGCCACGTTCCGTTGATCTCCCTCTCATCGTTGTCAACGCTTCTTCTTGTTGTAGATTTACTTGTCTGTCTTCCTTGTTCTTGCGCCAATTTTCTTCTTGTAGAACAGCAGCTGCAACATCATCGAAGACTAGACTGGTGACAATACTGTTTGTCAAGTTGATGATAAGTTGATCATACGAATCAGGTAGACTTTGAAGTAGAAGTTCAGCACGTTCTTGTTCTCCTATTGTACATCTTAGGAATGTAAGCTGAGAAAATAAAGTGTTCAGCGTGTTTAAGTGCTCCGTCACTGAAGTAGATTCTGGCATACGAAGAGTATACAATTTCCTCTTAAGGAAAATTTTATTGTGCAACGATGTAGCCTCGTACAATTTGGTGAGATGATCCCATATCTCCTTAGCTGTCTTTTTCTCCTCGATGCTTGGCAATACTTCATCTGCTAATGCTAGATGAAAGTTTCCCATAGCATTTCCGTCCATTTGCTGTCATCTACAAAATCCACCGGCCTTTCACTGATAGCCGCTAGACACCCGTCTTTCCTCAGGATGGCCTTCATCTTTAATTTCCACAATGAGAAATTTCTCCCATTAAACTTTTCAATATCAAATTTCGTTGTCATAACTTCTTTTACGGATAGCTCCCATTATTTCATATCGTGAATAGTTCTCTAGAACCTTCAAAGAATGGGTAATAACTTCTTACTTTCTTATGTTGGAGGATCCACCTTTTGGTGGCAACCACAAAAATAATAAACAGATATTACACACTCTAATCTAGCTCTGATACCAATTGTTGCGGAAGACGGCTATCGGATAGAGCAAAATCGCAACTATAATTTGAGAAAATAAAAATGAAGATAAAAGAGACACAAAATTTACGTGGAAAACCCCTAAAATTTAGGGTAAAAACCACGGGCAACGGTAGAAGAATTTCACTATGAGAAAATAGGAATTACAACTTCTCTCGATCTACCAAGGAGAAAACAATGATAATTCTCTCTTGATAAAAAGGAGAAAATAACTCTCAAGAAACTCTCTAAATTCTCTCTAGTATTGGAAGAAAGCTAGAATGCTTTGGGATGGTTTTGAAACTAAATGACCTAGGGTATTTATAGTTGAAACTTAAGGACTAATCTTGTAAATACCCTAAAAGTTTAGCGACTAAAGTTTGTAATTTTCCCATTTAGTTTTCAACCATTGTTGCACCTAATTTTGACATTTTATATTTGGTGCCTACCATTGTTAAAAATTTTTTTTTTCAACCTTGCTAAATGCACTTTCGATGCATGCTTTCAACAATTTTTTTCTTCTTCTTACATTAAGGAGAAGAGCTGCTTGATAAGCACATGGCTGCCTAAAAGATACCAGAGCTGACTGTGATTGATCTCTATTCGCACTGCTCAAAAAGACCAAAATGAAAGGGAAAAAATAGATGAAGCAATTAAATAAGGTGTAGAAGTTTGAATTAGTTACCCCATAAGCTTGATTTTCTCGATAAGGCCACAGTTAGAGAAATATGCATTGAGGTCTCCGAGAGTGGTTGTAGAAGAAAGGTTGAGGACCAGAACAGTTAAGTCAGGATTATGCATTTTTGGTTTCAGTTTATGGCTATGATTGTTGTGATCATGTTAATATCTTTTTTCTTTTTGCCAACAAAAACCTAATTAAAAGGACAGAATCCAGTTCTAATTCCAGTGAGAAGATAAAATTGAATAAAACACGAAGTTATTCTCCTCTCATAAAGCTTAAAACCTGGATTAAGCACGTGATTATTCCAAAGGGCACTAAGTGTGATCTGAGTTAAGATTATATTGTTTAATTTGAAGACAATTACTTTTGAGTTAGACACTGTCGAGGTTGTAGACCTTTATTGTAATTTTAGATATTTTCTCCTTTAAATAAAATTATCTGTTTCTATATAAAAAGTTGATTACATTTAAAGATAATATATAATTCTTAAATTATGTTATTAACCTAATTAATAATTTAAAATTTTATAGTCGCTTATGTAAATATATAAGAAGCACCTATATATGTTACATCATCTCCCATGTACAGCAAATTCAAATAGAATGGTTATTTCTTTCCGATTATGTTAACCAAATATTGAAACGAGAACATCACTAATAACTTAACAACTCGAAAAATATCATCCAACAATCAGCAGTTTACCAGTTTGCATGCAAATTGTTCAGGCTTAGCTGCTGCTCGTTGGAGCACCCCAAGTTCATTATGTTTCCTTCATAGCTTCTTTCGGTATCCACATTCTGATCCCCTGTTGGCTCCACACCTAAGAAATCAACAGTCGTTTTCCCGCCGCCTTCCATGTACATTTCTCCGAACAGATTCGAACATTTCCCATTCTCTGCATGTAGAATATGGGTATGGAACAAGGCAGTCGGAGCAAGAGTATTGCGAGATATCAGCACATTGGTGCTGGCGCCATTTGTTTCTATGTTACTACCAACCATGGAAGAACCGTCTTGGACCGACATGGTTGAGGTGATGTGACCAGTAGAATATCCGGTAAAACCTCGGAGTAGTATCGGGGCGATTGCAGTATCACTGATCTTAGCACCCATTTCTGCAGCTTTCTGTAACAAGGCAGTCGCGGATGTATATGCGGACCCTATTGCAATAGTAGAAGCCAGGGATGTTCCTGCGTTGAACTTTTGATTTAAATTGTTGCTGAACATGTTCATGTTCTCATTCGAAATCGACAGGTTCGTCTTCGTGTTGGCATTGGAGTATGAATCAGAACTAGGCATCATATCTTGTGGCAAAATTCCTCCGGTGGTAGCATGGTTACGGTTCACCTTGTAAGTTTCCTCTGTCAATGCATCACAGAAAGCTCTATGCGTGACGAAGCTGTCCTTCCTGTAAAAAAATGGATTGAAAAAAAAAATACAACTCCCTCAGATCACTTACAGAGTAATATGCTACATACCTTGAAAAAATCGTGCCACAATCGCAATGATACTCGCGGGTGCCACAGATCTTCGCGTGTGCCTTCCAGTCTGATTGAACAGCATATCGTTTAGAGCACTTATCACACTTCCATTTCTTCTCTCCATGCTTCCTGCAGAAATGCTTCTTAATGCCAGTCAAGTCGCCTAGAGCCCGGCTCGGATTATGATGAACACAATTCGGCTCAGGACATACATAAACCCTTTTCTTCACCACCTCAGTATTTGTTCTTTGCTTTAACTTCCAAGGCAAGTTATGTCCCCTCCTATGCAGCTGAAGGTTCTGGTCTCGTTGAAATCCTTTATGACAGACTTCACATATGTACCTGTTGGTTGCCATTAGAGTCCTCGGCGACAGGGCTACCACCTCCGCATCAGGATCTGAAAATTTTCCAAAAACCGAATATTGACTCAGTCATTATAGTTCCCGGAAGTATCTGAATAAAAGATAAAGATAGGGCATGCATGCTTGCCTGGATTCCCCGGAAGATTTCGTTTCCTCTTCGAATTTGCGGGGATAGAATGTTCAAGTGGATTTGGACTCTCGTTAGACGACTGTGAGATGACAGTTGTGTGATGTTCATCTTCTCCAAAATTCTGCACAAAGTTTGACATGTTTAGCTGACCTTGACACTGATGAATGCTAACAGGCAGCTGATAATATATGGTCAGATAAGGTAGCAGACAAACAGAAGAAATTTCCATACCAACCACGATTAAAAACCATGGTCCATGTATTCAAAATTAATCCAGAATTAGAATTCTTTGATAGCAACACCATTCCATCAAATAATATCTGTAAACGTCACCTATCAATAAAATATACATCCAAAGTTGGGTGTGTTTGTCGTGTGTGTGACAAGTAGGTGAACTTGTAGAACTGAAGCATTAATAGCCTACTAGCCACTGTTTGTCTGCATTTTAACTGGATTTTTGCAGGTGAAGCCATTACCAAAGGAGAAATGTCCAAATAAAGAGACAAAGTTTTGCCTTCTGTTGGAACTTATTAAGATGATATCTTGCATGTAATATTAATTATCTACCTGCTTCGATGATGATCCTTCAAGCAACAAAACTGGCATGTTTGTGTTTGTCATTCTTGATTGTTGCAATTTCATTGGACATATATATCCATGGATTGAGGTTTCATGATTTCGGATTTAACAATGTTATTACAGTATGAGACGCCAGCACATTAGCCGGAAAGATTATTTTATTTATTTATTTTAAGTTACAATTATAATTATAAACAACATTTGGTAGTTATTAAATTAACCGCAAAGGGCTAGAACCAACACATGAAAGGTATTAACAAAGTAAAAACACCTAGGAGAACCCCATTGGTAGTTATTTGGTACTATCCGATCTGAATTAATCGATTAACAGATCAGATATTGGGTTAAACCAAAAATTAATTAATTAATCTGGTGAAAGGGTTTAATGTTTGCGGTCCTGAAGGCGAGCCACTTTTCTGAGGAAACACTTGTCCAAGAACTTATGGCAGAAGCACTAGCTTGATCAGGGTTGTCAAGCTCTGATATAGACTCCCTCTTCGTCTTGGTTATCACCACATTAGGGTGATGCCTTAACTGCTGCTTTGCCGTGTGAATCCCGATCATTATCGCCACCGAAACAAATCCCATCACGATATAAATCGGCATATAGTCCCAATGCCTGCACAACATGTCCACCATGTCCCTAGTGATTCAAAAAAACAAAACCAAAAATCCTGATTCTTAAACTCGTGATCAAAATTTAAACTAACTTGATGTCAGGGCGATGACTTGAAGCCGCTTTCTGAGATGTCAACGACGACGAGGCAAAGGATCTGTTTGAACTCATTCCCAAGGTGATCATTGATTTCCAGTAACCCTGCAACACCATTCATTTTTATCATATCATGTCGACCAAAATGAACAAAAGGAGGGCAATTTTAGAAGCATATATACCGTTGCTCTAAAAGCCATTTCATCCAATGTGAAGTGAAGCAAGTGGCTGATAGAAACGAAGCTTGATTGCCAACGCCTGGATCAGGTTTAAATAAAAGCAATGTGAGAAGGATTGGGAATGGAATTATGGAAACTAATTAAGAAGATTAAAAGGACACGTTGAAGGCATACATGATTTGTAGGAGTTGGAAATTTGGAGGTGCGTTAGATAATATTCTCATTGATTTTCTTTTTCTTCTGTCTCCGTTTATGGCTGAAATGTTAATTAATAAAGCTTGGAGCGTTTCCCAATTGTATTAGACCTCAGCCATCCATTATTTCGGTACTCTTGTCCTTCATTTCGTCTTGTATAATTTAACTTGAAAGATACATATGTGATTGCGGTAAGATATTTTGATTTTTACGTTGTTTTTCTTCAAATAATAATATCAATAACAATTTATCATCCTTTGAAATTAAGATAAAATAAATAATAGAAATATGTGAGGATAATTTATAATTTTTTTCTTTAAATTATATTATCTTAAATATTACTATCTTATAAAAATTATTTATTTATTATTTTATTTTAAAATATCGGGTTAATATAACATTTTAGATTTACAAACAAAAAAGGCCATTTTATCTGGCCTCGCACAACTTTGACCTAAAAGGCATGACGTGAACCACAAGAAGGGGCTTGGAAGCAGGACCATTTCCTCCCAAATTGGACTCAAATCTAACAACAACCCAAGAAACCGGTACTTAGTTACCATCAAAATCATTAAAATAAACAAAGTCATTACAACAAAATCCCAAAACTAAACCCACACGTTCTTTTTAAAAACATAAGACAGAAGTTTAGTTGCAGATCATTTGTTAACTATGGTAGCTATTAAAAGAAGTAAACCGATGATGATGAAGATGAACCCAAATCAAATCCCTCAGTTACCGTATCAGGAACCGAAGTCATGTGCTGCATAAACTCGTAAGAGTTAAAGCCGAAATATGGCTCACTCACTCCCCAGTCAAACCCGAGAAGGCCCGAGTCGCTCCACGCACCATAAGTGTAACTCATATCTGAATCAGCAACTTCAGATGCGTAACAAGTAGAAGAGACATCGGGGGGGAAAGGTGGCAGCTCACAGTCATCGTTGAACTGTTGAGAACCACCGTTTCCGGTATCCATGACCCCAGTAATGGGCTTATAAGACACTAATGTATCGCTACTCTCTTGGTTCCATCCGTTTCCGGCTGGGAAGTGGCAGGCATTGAAAGGGTCTTGAGTGAAGAAAAGCTGGTTCTGGTTAGTATCCATTTGTTGGTTAAAAGGAAGATCAATGGGGAAAATGGATGACATGTTGCTGTGTTTCATCAGGGGAAATTATGGAGGTGACCGATGAGCCGATCGGCATATCGGAATAAACGAAGTTGGTTCGAACCTTGGAGCCACGCATGGAGCGAGCGGCACGGTCGTAGGCTAAGGACGCTTCCTCGGCAGTGTCGAACGTGCCGAGCCAATGCCTTTCTTTCGTGGAAGGGTCTCTTATCTCCGCTGCGTATCTGCCCCATGGCCTCCTCCTTACTCCCAAGAATCGTATCTCTTGTTGCTGTTGGTGCTGCTGAGGTTTGCTTTTGCCTTCTTTTGGCTTTAGAAGAAGAAGAGTTGGTTTTTGAGCTGTTGAAATCCATGAAGACAAAAGAAATAAATATATACCTTTGTTGCTTCTACTGCCTTTCTTGTTCTTGGGAATGGAATAGAGCAATAAGAATAGCTTTGTGATTTTTAAGGAAGAGAGAGCTTGTTGGGACTTGTTTATCAGCCATTTGCATATGTGTTTAAGTAGGGGGGAAATTTAGTTCTTCTGATCCGAGATTATGAGTGAGCAAAGAACAATCTCTCCCATGCTAGCATCATGATCGTAGTGTGGGGCCTTGCTTCTGAGTGGACCTCGTAAACTCCCATGAGCACAGTTGCCCTTCATTATGAATCACTCAATACAAAAGGCACTTCTCTAGTATTTGTGATGATATGCATAATGTTTGAGAACTACATCTCTGATACTGTTTCTAATGAGGTGCTTGCACCCAAGAGCATCCCGTTTGGTTAAGATTAGAGATTCTACTGTCAGATATATTTTTAACTAATGATGGAATTGACAATGATCATGTGAAAGATTAGAGATTATAACTAATTGAAGAGAATAATTACATTATTTTCAAATGAGTTCTGAAATATCTTAAGAAAACTTCGGAGGTCTTCAAGCTCTTATGCGGAGGAATAACAAGGAAATATAATTTCAGAAGAGATACAACAATCTATAATCATGGGTTTGATCAGTGCAACTCATCATTCATCTACCTGGAGTTCAATCATATCCATTGGACCATGAGTTTGAGCATTTTGATGATTTCTCCTGCAGGAAGTGCAATCATGGGCTCATCACCGGCTTAATATAATCCCCATGATTGACAAGTGCTGCTTGAATCAACTTTCTAGCAAATTTTCATTGACTTCCGATCATCAAAGTCTAAACTATAATAGGAGCGTGGCTGTGATCAAAATTCAAATATCATTCTCATGGCTAATAGCGGATAACTAAATTTAAGAATGAATATACATATATATTAATAATAAGTATTTTTTATATAAAATTAACATAAAAAAATTTTAGAGTAAACTTCGTCAATAAAATAAATAATTGTTACAGAGAATTTGAATTTTGAAATAAATACGTATCTACCTCTGCATAAGCATAAATCCACCAATACTCATGACTTATACTATCATTTTGTTTATCACTTTATTCAAAATTCTGTTTAACTGCACCATTAACTTCATTCAAGAAAGGTTTAAAAGCCGCAGCACCATATCAATATGACCACAATCCAAATATCATTCACTTGTCAGAGCTCATCATTTCCACATGTATAATATCACCCATCTTTTCATCTTTCAGTCAAGTAATACGAGTCTCAAAAGCTTTGTCTTCCGTCAAAATACGAAACAATCTACAGAGAACATACTTATATATTACATGTAGTCCTCTAAACACATAGAAAAGGTCATGCTGCCCTACGACTAACGCAACCGAGCCTTTTCACAACTAAATAAAATAACCCCAATATCATATAATTTCAGCCATGTGCATCCCAAATATAATGATACCTTCCACACTCTCTCTCAGCTTTTTTTATACCTAAAATGTGTGTGTTTTTCTTCTTGATATTTTTGCTTTTCAAGCATCGACATTACCATGTATATGAACACATTCAAATGAAATGAGGGGGGGGGGAGGCATGTGGGAAGGACACATAGGGCATGCTTTTTTCAACAAAACAATTCACTAGGAAGACCTATCTATTTGCTAAGTACTTAATCAACATTAGCAGCATGCTTCGACCTAATTGGACCCACGTAAAATATTATATAGACTCTACGAGTATTTTTCTTAATATAATAACATTATACTGTTTTAGCCAAAGTATGCTCGTTACAAATCAACATATTTGATTATGATAACAAGTCAAAAGAAATATAACATCATGAAAAGTGTTGTTATTGATGTCACACCAACCATTTACGTACCATTCCTATTGAATTTTGGAATGTTTTTTAATTATGACGTGGAATTAATTTATCTGACAACGCATTATGATATGTATTATTATTGAACTATACATAAATTACACATTACTTGTGGAATTAATTTATCGGACTCATATGGACACACAATTTTACCTCAAGAAATAATCTGAACTAAGTAAACAGACTTGACTCGTATGATGTATTTTCAAATAGGCAAAAAAACTACGTATCCCGAGTTTGGACCCTCGTTATAGTCTTTATCCTTTGCAGTACTTGGCACGATTCGATTCCAATATACTTGCCACCAAAGTCGCACACTGTTAGGTCAAAATTCTGCAAAGACTTTTGAGGAGAGACATTGAATATTTTATGACAAGGGGCGCCAAATTTAACGTGAAAATGCCTTGGGATTTGGGGATAGAGCATGCATGCACTATCTTCTCACCATCTAATAATTGCCACTTTGTTCATTTGTCGTCCATTTTCCAATTTAACCTCTTTAATTAATACGGTCTTCCCTCACTTAACTTCTTGGTTTCCGGAGCCCATTAGCCCCATTATTTTGTCTCTATATGTTGAT